CTCTGCCATTCGACATAGCCTCGTCCGGGGATCTTCTCTGCCCGAAGGCAGAGAGATTGACGAGCACAGCTGGAGACGAATCTTCAACTGCAGACTAACATACAATATTTACTACTGTATCTATGTAAATGGGGACATACCCATTATCATCTGTAGGTATGCTACAACAATATATATGTTCAAAAATTATACATATGCATTTTATAACATCACCACAGCGTTTGAAATAAATAAAATAAAGTTTACTCTTTATTTTACAATCATTACTTGACAAGTTGAAACAAAATGGCTATTTTTGTAGTGATGTTATAACATGCATATGCTATAATTTTTTAATAAATATTATTTGCTCTACTTGGTATTGAGCACTGTTTTAAGAATAGTGTTTTTGGTTATCGGAATTTTATTCCATCTGTACAAAACCTATATATATATATATATATATAAAAGTGAACATTGAAGTCAACACTCAGAGGCGACAGGCTGTTTCATGCTGGACCCATATATATATATAAATAGCCGAGGAAATATCCAGCATTCGCGGCCTGACGATTGCGTCCATCATGAATCAGCCTGTCGCCTCTGAGTGCTGACTTCAATGTTCATTTTTATATTTATATTTACATACGCTCTATCTCTGATATTGAGCACTTCATCCCATAAATATAGCACACCTTAAAACTATATTTCTTATGTATATTCTTAATAGATATAATATTTGATCATTTGGCCGTCAGTGAATCAACAAGCATCGTACTGTTTTAATATTAAAAGTCGAGCAATTTAATACAATTCCATAGTTTAATTTTTTTGTCTTCTTTATTAAGTGAGAAGCTTTTTCGAGGTTTCTACTCATTCTTCAAACTCTTTATCTTTTTTTTATAAAAGCAAGGACAGGAAAAAATATAATATTTCACTTATCATTAAAAGGTCAACGCACGGGCTGCACCGTGTACGGGGCAATGACCATGTGACCATATCATTTTACTCCTTTGTTAATTAGATAGATGAACATCGGCTCGGTGTTCATCTCTAATTACTACCTTATAATATAAATTTATTAGTCATACATCCTGCTCTTCCGTATTTACGGCTATTCTTACGTTATCGTGACAGGTGTCACTACACGACGCTAATGAACGAACGTGTTTTCTGTAATCGCGATAACGGTATATCTCATTAGTATGTGAGATCGAGACTGCTCTTAAATTTCTCGTGTGTCGCTTTCCAAAGGATATTTTTTACTTTTAAAGATATGAAATATTGTTTCTTACATTTGACAATGGAGTTACTTATATCGATAAAAATACTAGATTACACGTGCAAAAAATAAACCAATGCAAATAAAAATTATTTTAATATGGCCATCATTTTTGATAGTAAGTGTTGCGTTAGCGTTCGTTGGATATATTTTGTGTTAATGATTTATCAGCCAGAATACTTTATTCTATGCAACAATAGAGTTAATTGTGTAGGTAAAAATACTAGATTATTTATGTAGAAAATAGAAACAATACAAGTGCAAAATTATCAAAATATTGCCATCATAATTTTTACGAGTAGCATTCACTGTGCGCTATATATATATATATATATATATATATATATATATATATATATATATATATATATATATATGAGCATGTATATAGGTGATTTCACACATGTTTACAGATGAGGGTAAATCAATAGGTTAATAAGATGACAGTTTTCATTTGAGTTTTGATCTGAAATATTCAATGTGAAACGTTGATGTGAATTTTGATCTGAAATGTTCAATGGGAATGTTGATGTGAATTTTGATCTGAAATGCTCAATCTGAAATGTTGATGTGAATTTCGAACTGAAATGTTCAATGTGAAATGTTGATGTGAATTTTGATCTGAAATGTTCAATGTGAATATTGATGTGAATTTTGATCTGAAATGCTCAATCTGAAACGTTGATGTGAATTTCGAACTGAAATGTTCAATGTGAAATGTTGATGTGAATTTTGATCTGAAATGTTCAATGTGTAATGTCTGATGTAGATGGCAAATATGCATCACTGGACCATGGTCAATGACAAAGGGGATTATGTTGAAAAATAAATGTTTGTACAAATTAAATTTCTTTTCATCTTTAAACTCCGGAATTATTGATGCAGCCACTCACGCACACATAAGTGTATATATATATATATATATATATATATATATATATATATATATATATATATATATATATATATAAAAGGTATGCTATATTTATCGGTTGAAGTTCTCCATATTTGGAATAGAGCATATGTAAATATAAGTGTATATTGAAGTCAACACGAGGATTCAACAGTCTGTTTCATGCTAAAGGCAATCGTTAGGCCATGTGCATTTAGTTTTTTCTCAACTTTATATAAATACATACATATATATATATATATATGTCAGTGGGGATTTGTGGGTAGTCTATTGCATTATGGGTAATTTATTGTATTATTCTAACGTTTATTTTGTTGAGCGTGTTTTTTTTTCTATTTTTTTATTATTTAGTTTATTATTTATTTGTTTGGATAAATTTATTTTACTTGTTTTTGTTTATTTATTTTCATTTATTCTTGTTCATTTTTAGTTTTCGATTTTTAAGAAGCGAAGTAAAAATTTATTTTCATGTCTGCATTTTGAAATGAATTCTGATCGATTATTTAGTATTTTCAGATTTTGAATTGATTGTTGTAGGCTGATGTTCTTTTCCTTATTTTCCATGATATTTTTGATGAAATTTATTTTTTGTTTTTAATCTATCAGATATGTTTAGAAAGCAGTCCGCTGTTCGCCTATTTACTATTTGTAAAAGATGTTTTGTGTGCGTAGTTTTTTTTGTTTCTAGAGCCTTCACTTACTTCTATGTATATTTTTTCTTTGTTATCTGCTGATTTTACAGTGGCTTCGTATATTACATTGGTCTGCAAGCAATTGTCGTTTAAGGGATACTCGTTCTTTATTTTTATTCCTTTATTATTATTCTTTATTCTACTGTTACACTTGGGTTTAATACGTTCAGATGGTTTGTTGATTGTTTTCCTGTTGTACTATTTTATTATTTTTGTCGTTGCAACTGTAGCTGATTTTTACTGTGTTTCTGTTGAATATCTTGTGGAGAGTGCTTGATGCGGAGAAGTGTTTATGAATGAGTTTAATCAATATTTTTCTTACGTTTGTTTTACTTTTTTGTTGTACGGTGGATTGAACCATATTATGTTTCTTTTCCTGTTGGCTTTTTTGTGGTGTGTACGTCAGTGTTGCCGGGAATCCACTATCTTAGGGCGGTTTCATAGTCTTTCTTAGCTTCAATGAACATGGTTTCATTGTCGGCATGGACGCTTTCAGAAATACTAGATGAAGCCTCAATCCTTTCCATAGTTCACACCAGCATGCTCGGCCACTCTAACATAGAGGAACCACTATTTTCTGCTATACCAGTGTGAATGCTCCCGTCACAATGGGCGCCTATTCGTTGCTGCTCTCAATAAATTAAGCGAGTCCTCGTAGGAGCAAAGTCCTTGTTTGCTGAAAGAATGAGGCATCGCATAGCCTCTAACAACTTTGGCTCTCATGATTACTGGCGTCTCTGTAATAGGGTACTAAATAAGTCTAAATCTCTATTCCTCCCCTCTTCAATCGATTTGAGGTGTTATCATCATCTGTTGATAAAACCGAATGCTTTGCCGGTAAATTCTCCTCAAACTCTACTCTTGACTCATCTGGATTATCCTTCCCACTTAGAACTGACTAGCAGTAGAGCCCGGCGTTGCCCGGGGATGTAACAGTAAGAGATAGATCAAGTATCGACCATCATAAAGACTGAAAAATAAAATTGACAAAGGTTATTGTTTAAGGTTGACAGACACGCATGTCTTAATTAGTTTTTTTTTTTTTTTTTTTTACGAATTGGTCAAACCCAAACTCAATCGTTATGAGTCTACCGATCGAATAGAATTTTATTATAAACAATTGTCTTGTAAATGGAATTTCTAAAGCATTCTGAATGTAAAAATAAAGAAAAAAGTGTGCAAGACAATAAGAAACACTACCTGCCAAAAAAAAAAAAAATGAAGTTTTGTTGAAATCAGTTGAAAAATATAGGAAATCCGATCCCATATATAAACGAACACACACACACACACACACACACACACACACACACACACACACACACACACACACACAACCTGAGTTTTATAAGTATAACTCGATATGAGTTGTCCCCTTTCATTCTCGCAATGCTTCTTAATCGTGTTTTCAAATTGATTTCGCGCAAAAAAATTGTGTTTTTCCAATTTTTGGCGCCGTCAGAACCACCACAAGGTAATTTTACGTAGTCCTATGAAGTTTTGTTGAAATCGGTTGAAAAATATAGGAAATCCGATCCAATATATAAACGTACAGACACACACACAACCTGGGTTTTATAATAAGTATGATTATCTGTTAAGGGATATGCATATAATCCCTTCCATCTCTAACCTTGATCCCCACAAAGCACATAGACTCGATGGTATCCTTGTAATAATTAAGAAGTATACTCCTGAACTGTCTCCTGTTCTTTCCAAATTGTATAGTATATGTCTCCTGCCTACTGGAAATCGTCATATGTTGTTCAGGTTTTAAGAACTCTGGTGAGCCGTCTGACCTTTCAACTATCGGCCTATTAACCTTCTACCTCTTGGGGAAATTCCTAGAGGTTTAATCAATTCTGAATTGGCTCATCATCTTTCATCGTGGGGACTTTTCTCAGATAAGCAATATGACTTTCGTTTTTCTAGGTCAACTGCTGATATAAGGATTTAGTGATACAAATCTTACTAATTGACCTGTAGCTGGTGAGGTGGGGAGAAAAGGTGGAATCATACGTTTCCCATGGGATTTGCACATAAGTTAATATAACGAATCTAACTGAAATTGGAACTCGGCTCTCCGATTAAAAATTCCGTGTCATTATCCATTACACCACCTGCACATCCAAGCTTACAGAACCTAGCATTCCCGAGCGGTCACCCATATAGGTACTGACCAGGCTCAACGTGGCTTAACCATTTATCGAACGGGAACCGGAGTTTCAACGTGATATAGCCGTAAGTCCCGAGAATTTGTTATTTAAATATTTCAGTTCCATGAAATTATATTCATTCACATGTCAGGTGACTCTACAGGTACTGCTGGTACTATGTAACTCAGTACAACCTGCCACATTGTCGGTGCATCGGCGACTAAATCGGTTTCCCCGCCAGGGGTTTCTGGTGAAAAGAGTGACAGAACTAATTTCAACTCGGAACTAATTTCAACTCGGAACAAGTTTCAACTCGGAACTAATTTCAACACGGAACTAATTTCAGCTCGGAACTAATTTCAACTCGGAATAAATTTCAACTCGGAACTAATTTCAACTCGGAACTAATTTCAACACGGAACTAATTTCACCTCGGAACTAATTTCAACTTGGAACTAATTTCAACTAGGAACTAATTTCAACTCGATTTAAAATTAAAGTTATGAATTTCCATGTATTCCTAAGCAAAATGTTGTGAGTTGGTACTAATTTTTTAATTTAGTATTAAAAATCCTTAGTAGATATTTCAGAATTCATCTTTTCTATAGCTTTCATTCTTTTTGTTGCAGATGAATTAGTTCCAAGTTGAAATTAGATCCGAGTTGAAATTAGTTCCGAGTTAAAATTAATTCTGCATCCGGGTCGGTGAAAAAGCACCCGATATATCAATATGAGTTAAATTTAAGACAACTCGATACGGAACATTTATTTTCGACTGATGGCTATCAGTAACTGGAAGCAACGTCAAAAGTACAAGAACAGGACTGAAAGAAAGTGACGGAAGCGATGTCAGTATTAATTTTTTCAAGCCTTCTTTCCACATTATGTGTCCCGGAAATGTTAGTCATCTCTTTTTGATTCTAATTGCAAATGATCATTTTGGTTCCATTGTCAGCCGCTGATCTTAATATTTTGTTGAACAGATGCTGTTCTTAAATAAAAGAAACTTTTCACACGAAAGATGTCAGTCATCGTTTCATTTCCAAAATGTTGCTAGCTTTAAAAACCACGAAGTTAACGTGTCTTCATTATTACATCATTTGTTTCATTCTGTTTCGCTGCACTTAAATAATGCGAATGTTCAAATAGGACTTGCATATACGTGGTTTGCAATATAAGCCGTTGATTATCATTAAATCTGAGGTCAAGTGTAAGCTCAGATGTACAGATGTCATGTTTAGAGCGGATGTTGATCAAATTTCATTATTAATTTTATCAACTTTATCAACAAGAGTTTGGAATTCGGATGATACATTTCTTCATTAAGACGTCAATTTACAGTCAAGCAATTCGTGCTTAATTAAACCAATGTTTCCCAAAGCAATACTCGCAAAGCTGAATGGTTAGAACCCAGGTTCAAATCTCACCATATTTTGTTTCTCTTTTTTAGCTATTGATTACACTAACTTATGCACTCTATCAAGGAAGCTACAACTAAGGTCTGCTCAGCATCGTTGCTGTATAAAAAAAACAGGTTGTTTCCTCGGGTGTTGAATAAATAGGTCTGAGCAAGGACCTGCAACAGGGATTAGCCACTCTAGCAGACGGATACGCTCAGAAAATAGCAGCCGGCTAGTATTGGTAGCAAGGACGATTCTGATGCTAGCAGGTAGATAATAATAATAATAATAATAATAATAATAAATAGTAGCACAATACACCGGCTGAAGCTGCAAAATACTTAAAAAAGAAAACAAAGACAAATGCAACTGACCAAATACAGAAACAAAGCCAAGATAAACCGCTTCATGGGCAATCCTCTGCCCGTACCAAACAAGATGACGTAGACAAAGCCTGTACCCATCAGTGGCTACGTAGTGCAGGGTTGAAAGCTGAAACTGAAGGTTTTATCCTTGCTGCACAGGACCAATGCTTGTTAACTAGAAATTATCAAGCCCATATATTAAAATATTGTGTTAGCCCAAAATGCAGATTCTGTGATAAATATCCAGAAACAACTGATCATCTTGTATCAGGTTGCACGATATTGGCACCCACTGAATATAAAAGCCGGCATGAGAGAGTGGGCCAATATCGGCGCTGGAAAATATGCAACTTCTACGAGAAGGAAACTGAAAGAAACTGGTATGAACACCACCCAGTTACGGAGATAGGACCTGTTACAATTCTATGGGACTACAAAATTTACACTGAACCGCCCAGACATTGTTATTAAAGACCACAAACAAAAAAAATGCCTCCTTATTGATATGGCAGTCCCTTCATACTGCAATGTATCTTTGAAGATATTCAAAAAGTAGTCAAAATACAAGGACCTTGAAATAGAAATCTCGAAAATGTGGCACATGGGAACATCAACAATCCCTGTTGTAGTTGGAGCCTTAAGATTGGTTGAAAAAGATTGCAGTAGACTAATTGAAGGGATTCCTGGAAGTCCATGCCTTAAAGACATACAAAAAAACGGAATGACAAGTACAGCCCACACTTTACGAAGGGCTTTATCTATGTAATTTTTTTTCTTTATCAGTGGAAAGTGTCACTATGCCATTTCTAACCTTAGGTCTCTGGGAGGGACCCGGAAAGAAATGTGTTAACGCCAGAAAGCAAAGGAAATAAATATAATAATAATAATAATCATGCTAGGAAGGTTTTATGCTGCACAGGACCATTGCTTACTAACTAGAAATTACCAAGCACACATACTGAAAAATCGTGTTGCTCCAAAATGCAGGTTCTGTGATAAATATCCAGAAACAATTGACCATCTTGTATCAGGTAGCACGGTATTGACACCCACTGAATTTAAAATACGGCACGACAGAGTGGACTAAGATCTGCATTGGGAAAGTCTGCAACGATTACGGAAAGGAAACTGCAAAAAATTGGTATAAATACCAACCAGACTCGGTTACAGAGAGAAGAACCGTAAGAATTTTATGGGACTTTACAATACACAGAGAGAGAACAAAACTAATCACCCTCACATAATGATTAGAGTCTGCAAAGACAAAATATGTCTCCTTATTGACATGGCAGTTCCTTCAGACTGCAATATATATTTGAAGATCTTCAAAAAACTATCAAAATACAAGGACATTGAAATCGAAATCTAAAAAATTTGGCACATGAGAACATCAACGATTCCAGTTGTATTTGGAGCCCTCGGATTGATTGGAAAAGATTCTAATTGACTCACTGAAGGAATCCCTTGTAGCCAATGACTTAAAGAAAAATGAGATCATAAGTACAGCCCACACCTGACGAAAGGCTTTAGCTATGTAAAATATGTGCGATTTCTTTTTCAAAACTGTTCAGTGGAAAATGTCATGATGCCATTTCTAACTTTAGGTCTCTGGTTGGGACCCGGAAAGAAATGGGTATGCACCAGAAATCAAAGGAAATAATAATAAAACAATTCGGGACTTCTCATATTAAATGATTGCAGCTGTTAAGATGTTAAAACGTTTTGTATTCCTGAATTAAGCAACAATAAATATTCAATTCAATACCAGAAATTTGATTGTCATGTATATATTTTTAATAGAATTAACTCCAAGTAAGGCAGTAAAGCCACTAAGACACAAAAGGTTGCTGGGTGTGAAAGAATTAGAAAACAGAAAGCATTACGAAAGAGCGAGAACAATAAAAGAGTCATCAGATAACAATTGGCATTGAACTAAAAGTTTTGAAGACAAATGTTAGCCGGAAAACATCGAGCCGGAAGAGAGTTCCACAAGCGAGAAGTGCGAAACTGTTAGTATAGAACTTACCGTTTGATATAACCAATTCATCTGTAAATTGATGAGACCTTGTTACCAATCTAGTACTGCGCTTGAATTCGTAAAGTCTAGGTACCGTAGCGGAGAGCACATCCGAAAAATTACCCTTTTATAGAAAAGGCTGAGGTAAGTAACTTTATTGCGGTAGGGGAGTGACAATAACCGAGACGCCAGGTCATGACCAATAATATTGCTGATTCTTCTTTGGATTTTATCATGAATCTATAAATAAATATCAGGAATACCGGACCATATGATGCAGCAATATTCGAAGAGTGGACGAATTGTAAACTAATAGATATGTAAGCTAGATTCTGGAGTGAAAAATCGTCTAGCGCAAAGATTAATAGAAAGCAATATTGTTTTGGAGGCGTTAAAATTAACACATCATTCTTTACTGACCATGACCAATTGAATATGTGCTCTAGGGGCGGAGGCATTGTCAATATATTTTCAAGTGCGAGATGGTAACAAGATGGGATGTACGGAGGGCTGTTTTTTTTAGTTTGAAGGATGAGACCGCCAAGGCGACGTGAAAGTCATATGAAAATAAGGTGTAATGATTATTCATAATTTGGAAAAGTCGATCAGTAAAATTAATAGACACAAAATGTCTGTTGTCATTAATAATATTTGCCTTAAAAAATCATTTACAAAATTTACTGCCTAAAATACAGAGAATATATATATATATATATATATATACAAAAGTGAACATTGAAGTCAACACTTAGAGGCGACAGTCTGTTTCATGCTAGACTCTATCGTCAGGTGGCCTGACGATTGCGTCTAGCACGAAACAGCCTGTCGCCTAAGTGTTGACTTCAAATGTTCACTTTTGTATTTACACACGCTTTATCTCTGATATTGCGCACTTTATCCCATAAATATAGCACACCTTAAGAGTATATATATATATATATATATATATATATATAGTTTATGCAAACTTAGGTAATCAGTATGGTTAGACCTGAGGAGGATGATATCCAGAGAGCTCAATGTAAAATTCAGAGCAGATATGTTTGAATAAAAAACAGACCACGTTAAGATTCCATGTAATAAGCTATTTCACCATAACCCCTTTAACATATTTCTGGATCATCAGACTTTACTTCCAAAAGCTAAAATGAAAAGAAATTCACACGTTTTTTACGGACCTCATCAAGTGTTGTGAATTTCTTTTCATTTTCATTTCAGCTTTTGGAAGTAAAATCTTATGATCCAGAACCCTGTTAAATATATTATGGTGAAATAGCTATATTATATGGAATCTTAATATATATATA